CTAAATTCGGTATAGTAAGGGTTTTTTTATATTTAAAAATCTGTCTGACAATGAAAATCCGTTGTATTGTAAAATTCATTATATCAAAATTCGTTGTAGAAAGAGTTGACTGTAATCATTTTTAATTATCTATAATACTTACTAGCTTTGAAAAAGTAAGATATTTTGTTTAACTTCTAATAAAGAAACTGTATTAATCAAATTTTAGGATTAGGTTAGCAGATAACTTTACTATCTTTTAAGAATTAAAAAGTATATCACTTATCTGTTATCTTAGAAAAGATATACAAGAAATAGTTCATATTCTTAAAACTATTTTTTAAAACTACAGATTAAGAAATATTATGATAAATCTGATCTAATAAAAAGGTTTAAGATTTTAGCAATTTTGAAAAAACAGAAAGAGATATAAATAAAACTCTACATAAGTTAGCTTAGCTTAACTTATCACTAGCTTAAATTGAGCTACCTTTATTTCAGCTCAACTTAAAGAGATCAATCAACAATTTAAGTCAAGTCAAGTTGACTTGTAAATTGATTTATTTAACTTGCATTTTTTTTTTGAAACAAAATTTTGTTAAAAGAAATATTTCCTATTAAGAGAAGTATTTTTGAAATGATCTCTTTGAGAAAAATGTTTCAGAATGATTTTCTTTGAAAAGAATAATTTCAGAATAATTTTTTTAAGAGAAACATTTCTGGGATGATTCCCTTTAAGAGAAATATTTCCAAAATGATTTTCTTTGAGAAAAATATTTTTAGAATAATTCTTTTTAAGAAAAATGTTTTTAGAATGATTTCCTTCACAAGAAATATTTTTAAAGATATGTTTTTAAAAAAAATTACTTTTGAAGTGATTTACTTGAAAGGAATCATTTTTGTGGATTGTTCTTTAAAGAAATCACATCTAGAGGCATTTCTTTAAAGGAAAATTTAAAGGAAAATGCCTCTGAAATGATTTTTTAAAGATTAATACTTCTGGGGTATTTTAATAAAAACTACTTTCAGAGGCATTTTTCAAAGAAAACATTTCTAGATATAAATCTAGTTGCATATATTAATACTCTAAAATTAAGAGTAACTTACACTAATTCTAAGTTTGAATAAGCATTTTGCATTTTAACAGTTATATAGAAATAAATATTAAAATGAATTAGATGTTATTACATATGAAATATATTAGAGATTATATATATTATATTGAGCAAAGATCATTTATATATTTAATCATACTATTTTGAATTTAGGTTCTTATGAGATTTAAAATTGGAAAACCTCATACGTATTCGGTTATTGATGAAATCAAATCTTTATTTTATGTATTCATGCACATAGCTTGTGATGGAATTGTTAGTTGGAAAAAGCATTCGGATTTGTCAACAAGCATCGCAATAAAGTACAAATGTTATGTTCTGCCCACAGGAATTTAATAGACATTTGACCAACTATGCTCATAACGAATTTCACACACATTTATCAGAATTTCACAAAAGAATTTTTCCATATGGTAACGAGCTTGAAAGCAAGAGAATTATCGATTGAGGAAATCATTGAAATTTTCGAAAATTAGTTAAATTGACTAATAGATATTATTTGCAAAAATATTATTAATGTCTTTGTAATGAAAATATATGTAATAATAAATACTGTATATGTAAATAAATAGTTGTTAAAAATGACCTTTAAAGTTAGAGAAATACTATATTAATAATTTGATCATAGTTTTTTATATCAAATTTAATATTACTAGAAACGGGAAACCGTTGTAAAGTCCGATATCGCCACGTGATCTTATATGTGATTAATCATGATTGTCTTACTATTTAAGGTTAGTTCAAATTTTGGAGTTTTTAAAAATGCTCTTACAATCTTACAATTCTAAAATTTTTTTTCTCACAAACTTTAAAACAAAATAATGACAACCAGTTTCTTTCCCAAAATTTTATTAATATTTTAGAGGATGATGAGTATTATGATGTTACAATTGAAGTAGGACAAGATCCTGAAGTGAAAATATTTCGGACGCATATGGTTATTTTAAATTATCGTTCAACATTTTTTCGTAGAAATTTATCTACAAGCAAAAAGAATTCCGAGGGTAATTTAACTCATATAAACTTACCAAATATCTCTCCCAATATCTTCCAAATTATTTTAAAGTAAGTTAAACCAAAAAGGTTACGGTGTTATGTTTATTTAAATTTTTAAAAGTTATGCTAATTTGGATACTTTTTGAAAGATATATTTATGGCGGAATACTTTCATTGGATGGAGTAGATCCTTCAGACATAATTAATGTAATGGTTGCGGCTGAAAGACTTAACTTACATGAAATTGTTAATTATTTACAATCATATTTGATCAAAAGCAAAGCTAAATGGATGGAAGAGAATTTCTCTCTTATTAATATTACAATTTTTCAACATAAAAACTTCATCGAACTTCAAACTTTTTGTACAGATATTATGTCGAGATATCCTGAAAAAATATTCAAGTCATTTGATTTCACCGCTATTCATGAAAATTCCTTAATTTCTTTAATTAAACGAGATGATTTAAAAATGGTTGGGAAAATATATTGAGATGGGGACTTGCACGAAATCCTACTTTACTTCCAGAACCCGAAACTTGGTCGGATGATAATTTCAAAGCAATGGAGCAGACTTTACAAAAATGTTTGCCTTTAATCAGATTCTTTCAATTATCATCAAAGGAATTCTTGAAAAAGGTGATGCCTTATCAAAAATTATTTAAACCTCAGCTTTATAAAGAATTGTTAAAGTATTATTTGGATGATAGTAGTCAAATAAATTGGAAAATCTTACCGGCAAGAGGGTCAAATATTGATTCGATCATAATTAACAATAAAGTTGCAGCATATATTGCAAGTTGGATAGATGGTCAAGAGTCTAGACATCCTATATTTTGGATTCACACCTTATAATTCCTTTAATAATCCTTATGAATTTAAATTATTATTACGTGGAAGTCTTGATCCTACAAAATTTTATGAGCGAAGTGGTAATATATCTAAAACTGTGATCATCGTCAAAGTGAAGGGAACCAATGAAATTCTTGGAGGATATAATCCTCTGGTGTGGGAGGATAGCAATGATTATTTAACAACTAATGATAGTTTTATATTTTCCTTCACCTTAAGTAATCTTAAAGACGTTATTTTAAGTAGAATAAAAGATCCTAGATGTGCAATTTATTTTTCAAATCAAAACGGTCCACGTTTCGGCAATGATTTATTGTTTTATCTTAAAAATTCTATGGAAAATACTTCCGGTTTTTGTCAAAATATTCGATATGAGAAGAATATAAGGTCACCTAAAGGTTACTTTGATATAGAAGGATTTGAAGTATTTCAAATTATCGAAAAGATACCGATTTTGACAACAATGAACAATATACCATCTCTTGATAAGCGAACGGTTATTCCGCCACTCTTACCTAAACGATCAAACCTAAAAACTGCCAAACCAAGTTTACAAAATATGGATAAAAATTAAGCTTAATTGCAGGGTATAATATTAATAAGGCAAGCTGATTATAATTTCATTCCTATCACATGCCAGTTCTTTATTTGGAGTTAGTTTTTTTTTTTTTTTTTTTTACCCGTAATAAAAATAAAAAAAAAAATTCTAGAATGTTTAAATGTGAATTATTAAACCTCTTTTATTCTTGTAAGTTAAAAACTAAGGTTTAAAAAAAGTATTATCTCCACATGACATAAAATTTATTAGAAGTTATATGATAATTCATTATAACCTTCCCCTTTTCCTTAGACCATCTGCGTATATAACGCTTAAATTCCCTAGTATTAAGACTACAAACCAAAAAGTTGAGATGAAAGTATTTTAATTTCACCACACAATTCTCCAAAAAGTTTCGATATTCATCAATGTTGCGAATTAGATTTGAAAATTGTAACGCGTTAATTCGACGAGGTAAAATCTTTGCCAAATCAACGATGAACCTAGTATTAACAACAGAAGTATATTCCACTGGAATTATCAAGTGAAGCTCTTCAAGATTTGGGGAATTGTCAAGGATATTAAATAGATATGGTATATCATCATCCGCAGTAATTTGTGTAGAAAAGAAGCAAAGATTTCTATGATTTTCACCAATTGATGTTAAAATATCATTATTTATGTACGCGCATAGGAGACTAAGTGCTTTCAAATTTTGTGTCAACGTTTTGTTTTGAATTATTCCTTGAAGTGGATTCGGTTGTCCGATAAGTTCATTGTCACAGAAAACATTTATTAGCGTTAAAGACCATAATTTTGGAAATTCCGCCGAAGCAATCCATTCAAAATTTTTGAATGATATGCACATATTTTCCAAGGTCACGCGTTCCAAATTTTTACATTTGCCGAAAAATTTAAATGTTTCATCGTTATTTACATGCATTCCACTAAATGTTATAATCTTTAGAGAATACGCGTATATTTCCAACGATGAGATCATTTCAAAAATAGTTTCTTCATAATTTAGTCTCATCAAAATATTCGCTCCAATAAGCCGCACATCTTCAAGTTTTTTCTGGTTTTTCAATAAGGTTACCACCTGGTTTCTAATCAACTGGAAAAATCGTTCTTGAATATTTATCGTTTCTAACTCTTTGCAACTTTCCGATAAAATATTCAAAATAGGAAGCTTATAAGCTAACTTTCCATATTCTAAATATTTTAAATTCACAACCAAGTCTTTCCCCAATATTAAGAAATCATGAAGGATATCTTCAATCTTCATAATTACATCATAACATTTTGTAATCCTTGAAAGATCCAATTCCAATCCATCATCGTCATCATCATCATCAAATTCAACATCATTGACAAATTCTTGAACATCTTTGCTTTTGAAATTAATTTTAAGCCATTTGATGTTTGCCCTGCTTATTCCTAAAGTTGTCAATATAATTGAAATTATAAACAAGATTTTCCTTAATCCAAAATCTTCTGGCGATTCTTCGTTAGTAGGTATCAACGATGTCTGATGGGTTCGTTTTAATAAAACATTGTACTGCTCTTCCATATAATCTACAAAGGAATCAGCATCATCTTTATTCATTTTGTAATATGTTGAGACAATTCTAAAAAGGTTATCGTAATCCAAATGGGTAATGAAATTAGGATACATAAATTTAGTATCGAGCATTTTTTTTTTCATACAATCTGCCTTATTCTTCCATTCTAGAACTTTGTTTTTTTTCAGGATTGGTATGAATACGTTTAAGATTTTGGAGTGATTTGTTAAATCATGAATATTTTCTGTAAAGGGATTTTTCCACAAATATTTGATACCGTTTCCGCACCAAGAGCGATTTACACGGATAATAGAATACAACGTTTTAGTATCTTCAATAAAACTAAAAACGTGTTGTAAAGTTTCATTTGCTAGCTTTGAAATCATATTTTTTTTTTTTTTCGTTTTTGTTTATGATTAGAAAGGAGTAGTGAGAAGAAAGAAAATTGTTTCAAGTTAAAACTCGGAAAGATTTTTCTTAAATGTTTGTGTCGCGTGATATTTCGCGATCGTATAAAAATAAATGATCGGCGTAAACATCTTTTCCTGTTTTGTATCCAAATACATCATTCGCGTTTTTTTTTTTCACACTTACAAATATGAAAAATGTTATTCAAGGCAATCTTTTTTTATATATAAAAAATTTCGTATTTACACATTAGAAATCTCTGCACGATAGAAGTGGGTGACTTTTCAGGATTCTCACTTGAAAAACAAAAGGAAATGCCGACTTCTTGGGTCAATTTTAAAAAAACTGCTGGCACGGGATCATCTCTTTGATCTTTTTTTTATTTTAAAAAAAAAATTTAACATCAAAAATGAAAAAAATTAAAGATTTGATCGTTTGGGCGAAGCAAAAAGATCAATTGCTGAAGATAATTAGAAAGCTTTGATACATTTGTCGCTTCGAAAGATTTTAATAATGGTAAATATCTCTTAAAAGAATTTGATAATGGAATGAAATAAAATAATTAATTATAATAATAATAATAAATTAAATAAAATTAATGCTATAAAATTTTAATTTTCATTTGAATATTATGGAATCACCAAAATAGAAACCGGCTAGTATTTTTTTTTTTTTTTTTTTTTTTAAAAAAAATTCATGTTTAAATTATTTATTAAATTTTGTTGAGTCCAAGTATACATTATCCTTTCCTGAAACTTGGTACCCAAACTTTTCGTAACTCTTCGATAACAAACCAAAAACCGTAACGATTGCTAAAGTGAAAAGAACCAAATGAAATTCTTGGGATATCATCCAAAGATATGAGAATCAGTTATAGACATGAAACCTTTATATTTTCATTTAATTAATGGATGAGTAAAAAGGTTACGATCACGAAAATGAGTCATATGATTTGACTGAAATGGCTAATCACCACCAAAAATTCTACCCCCACGCGATCATAGAAATATTTGTCACCCTGCGTCACACCCTTTACGTTTTCCATTTTCATAAGTATTCTGGGAACTTAGACTTTTCATATGGACCGATTTGGCTCACTTCGGTAATGTCACCTGCAAGGAATGATCGACCGTCGATCATTACTAGTTTTACTACATATCA